CAATATCGAAATACGGTGCAACACAAACCCTAACAGCTCTAAGCATGTCGAAAAGACACTGCACCGAGTTTTGTCCGTCTAAGCTTGTGCCTGTAAGAATTGCACTGCAAAACTGGTGTAGAGAATTAAAATTCACTAACTTTCATAGCATCGTAGAGCTGTTTGGCGAAAAAGCGCGGTTTGTTCTGAACACTATCCACCAGTGCCAAGTAGGCAGTTTTTGCATCACCACTGAACACTTTCTGCAATAATATTACAGTTTCTCTACTGCAAAAACTTGCGGAATTTGAGTGTACGTATTAAATAACACACTTTATTTCGCGCCATACCTATTTTGATGCTTTGATGCATTGTAATCCCACCGCAGCACATATCCGTCCTGTCGAAGAAGCTCCTAACTCTTTTATGACTACTGTAACAAAACCTGCGCTATCCGTCACGAATCCTGACACTAATTTTCCTGCCCCATTTCTTCATTTTTCTCAAGAAAAAGACTAGGCGTATAAAATCCTTCCGATGACAGTGCGGTTTCCTCTATGGCGGTCATTACCACTAAGAGAAGAAGCACAAGGGTTCAGCCAAATAGAAACGTCGAAAGTCACAGAACTCGAAGAGTTATGAAATTTAGCGTGTCATAGGACCTTACACACGAGTATCTGAAAACACATGCTACTGAAGATATATTACCACCGATCTTCACACACCAATAAATACAGCGATTTGCAATTTAACACATAACAATTTGGCTGGCTCAAGCTAATCTTGACGAAATTACTCTTACAGAAAGTACGAGATATCCACCGGTAGAAAAGTGGACGCCGATCATCCGCTAACTTTTTCTGGCTTCAGATCTGCCCTTTATGATACGACAACAATAAACTTAGAATTATCTTCTGACTCGAATGTATCTCAGCATTACTTCCTTTGTTGCTACATTCAAAATGATTGAACCTCGATGCCGGCCTGCAGCGGTTCGCCAGTCATACTCTGGTATTCACTGAACAACTTCTGGATTTGTCGAAAATTGTTCTGG